ATTTAATCGAATGGAATTGAATGGAATCGAATTTAATTAAATTGAATTAAATTGAATTAAATTAAATAGAATAGAATTGAATTGAATTGAATTAAATAAAATCAAATTGAATTGATTTGATTTAAATAGAATAGAATCAAATTGAATTGAATTAAATAAAATCGAATTGAATTGAATTGAATTAAATAGAATCGAATCGAATTGAATTAAATAGAATTGAATTGAATCGAATTGAATTAAATAGAATCGAATCGAATTGAATTGAATTAAATAGAATCGAATTGAATTGAGTAGAATTGAATTGAATTGAGTAGAATCGAATCGAATTAATTTTATTCGATTCGATTCGATTCCAATTCTATTTTAAATTTGAATCGAATCGAATTGTTAGGATCTTTAAATATTTCTGAGTAAATATTTTAGCTATTTGATGCCATCTTTGACATGTAATAGTTTTAATATTTGTTTTCTTTACTACTTAGATGGTTGTATATAGACAGACTAGTATTAGACTTATTAGCTTATTAAATTATATAAGAAATGTTGTTGTTTTCTATAAGTAAAGTTTAAATAATTTTACTGTTAATAAAGTGATAATATTTTTCTACATATAAAAAATAACAACTTTTAATTAAACTTTTAATAAACTATTGTATTTAAAAAAAAAATCAAATCAAATCAAATCATCAAATCTGTAACTATATAACTACAAATAGGTTTTTTTATTAAATTTTAATCAATCTTCTTCAAATAGACTTATTAAATTAGCTATAAGATATCTTTCAAATACCTTAATATAATTCTAATTAGTTACAATAGTTTCAATATTATATTTCCTGAGAAAAAATAAAGAAATACTGTATGTGTTTTGATTAGCAATTCAATATCCAAACTTTTTATCCAATTTATTTTTTATCCTATAATCAAACAAGTTTATGTTGTTTATTAAATCTTTTATAAAAGACAAATAAAAAATAAATAAAATAAAATAAAATAATCCATAAAATAATACCGTAACCCAAATAATATCTTAAATTAATTACGTAAGGTAATATTAAATTCTTCTTTTGAACTTAATTGCTTTTTTAATCCTTGTTAAATTAAAAATTTCATTTTAATAAATCGGGTTTTTCGAAATTAAAGAAAAACAATTCATAGCCTCAACTATATAAACGACATACCGTGTGACTAGCGATTTTAAAAAATTTTATTTTTAATGTAAGAAAAAATTTAGCACCAATATCTGATGTGTAAGAAGTGAAAATATATGATCGATCAAATTTTATTAAGTGCGTTGAGGTCAAGTTGTTGTAATGCCAAATTACGTTGCTTAATATTGCGTCGAATAGCATTAAAAAAAAAGATATTATTTAATTTAATAACATATTAAAGGACATTGTGTTTTCAAGGAGATCAGAAATAAAGGGAGTAAAATAAATTCGAATAACAGGATTCTCGGAACGAAATGGAGAAATAAAACTATTTACATTCGGATGTCTATTTACAAGAAGAAACCCATTTAAAAATGAGAATAAAAAAAAAGTATGTAAAGAATATATGCATTATGTTATAAGGATAACTATTTATATATGATAGATTAAAATGGAGGAGATGAATAGAGATAATATGAGATGGATAATTATTGAATAATACTAAGATTATAAAGAAATCATTATCTAAGTGATGTTTTCGTTTGTTCCTATTACAATCGAATGTCTTTTTTCCTCTTTTGTGACCATTTTCCGACCATTCCGCTAAAATCCCAAGCTTCTTCGCCCAAACAAGATCTCTACAGTGTTTCGTTTCCCCCGAGAATCCGTAGCTTCCGCACCACTGTTGTTGCTATTATGAAATGAGGAATCCCTAGAAATCGGAGGAGATACTGTACTTTCGGTCGCATTTTCATCACTACTTCCGGTATATAACATATGAGAGTACTTTCCAACTGCGTTGTACTGTAATGCAATCAAGAGAACCAAACATCCGAAAACTAACGACAAATCATCAAGGATGCGAACTATCCAAAAATTATGAATGGTTGGTGGTAAGAAGATGGTAAATATCGTGTGAACGGTGATGAAGAGTAGGGACAGAATCAGAGATATTGTCAAAATGCCTGACTAATAGAAGAAATTTGGATGTTTGGTCAATTCCATGATTGTGAGTACGAATGTGGATGGAGAATCTTTATTCATTACCTTAACAATCTCCCGATACGTCCTCGATCTTCGTATTTGTGCATTGGCATTTTGCCGAATCGAATCGTGTTCACATTTCCTTGCTAACACCATTATTATTCCAAATATCGCATAGGTGAAAATGGCAAAGAACGTGAAAACAGACTCCATCACAATATAAATAATTTTACTGATGTCCCTTTTGATGTTGATCGTTGGTGTGAAACCAAAAAGGCAAAATATCAAAGCAACACTTTTGACCAAGACGGCAAAGAACAACCCCAAATGAAATACACGGCACAATTTACGAACTAGGGGCGTCCGGTAATCTAGTTCTTCGGATATGTTACGAGTGGCTTTTATCCTAAGTAAATAAATAAATAGATTTGTTCATATAATGTCTAAAAGTCATTCATCACTTCATTATCAACAATGCTTTACCATGGAAACAAGAAAATCGCATAGCATATACATAAAATAAAGTATCCCGACATTTGAACGATCTCATATTGAAGTTCAGACAAGCGGTCATAATGCATAGCCCAGGGATCATATTCTAGCATAACTAGGAAAACTGTGAATAAAGTTGATAGATCATGAGCATCAGACATCGTTTAATGCGATCATGCAAATTTCAATGAATACCAACTCGCAGAGCTTAACCCAACTCCCATAAGTAACCATGGTCTTGGATTGGTCAGTGTGAGGCCATGTTTGTAGATGCCAACAGAGGTAAGATAGAATGCCGACACTGCTACGCATCCGTACAGTATCCCAAAGACGATTGACCATATCAGCAAGCCTTTGCTATTGAGTAGCATTATCCAAGAGCCGTTATCTAATCGTGTCAAAAAAATTTATTAAATGGTTATGAAAGTTTATCTTTATGATAAAAAAAGTGTGTACCTCGAGTGACCATGGCATTGGAAGTTTCGTTGAAGAGATTGATGACCTTGGCTGCATCCACAGTCCTGATCAACACTAATGCGGATCTGGCCTTCGAGAGAAACCGAGAATCACCCATATATCGTTCCCTTACACCGGGGTCTCCATTATTTGTGGATGTAAAGATCACTACTGTCGATGGGCATTGTGGTGCATAAATCGATCTACGTATCACGTGAAAACTTCGCAGTCCGGGGATATCTCGCGGTATTTGAAGCCACGGATTGCTAATTATTTTGAGCAACAAAGGTTATCGACTTTTGGAAATTCTGTGGTAATTCATGTATGACAAATAACCGTTTACAATCATTGTGTTTATCGGACACAATAATAGTGAAACGCCGACCGCCCTTAAATGGTAAGATTTGATACTTCGAAAATGCGCAGTTCGCTTGACGATCTTTCGAAGGGGCGATGACAATATTCATAGTCACGTTATTCTGATGGCCTTACCTTAAGATAACGTCGGAATAAGAAGAACACCCATTATTCAGACCATCCTCGAAGGGCACCAACAGGATGGAAGTATTGTCTGGAACTGGGTTCAGGGTGCAAGGATCAGATTTGTCACCGAGAAAGGAAGCTATGACCAAACTACCATTCACATAGCCATAATCACAGGAATTCACCCACATAAAGTCAACAGTTGAAAAGATAATTTTCGAATTATCACTTGTATATAGATACAAGCTCGCGCTGCAGACTTGGGTGAACATGAGCCAAACTAGGAGGACGCGTGCATAAGTGATAGGAGGTTGAGATGTGAAGGTCCTCCTTTCAAAAAGGTCTATCCGCCCGAACATAGCATTAATTTTCGTGGTAATGCGATGTGAGTAATCTTTATTTTGGATTTTGCGGTTTTTCTTTTATGGTACAAGATCAACTTGAAATAGGAATACACTCGTCACACTACAAAAATGCCAAGTTCGGGCGTTCGTAGAAGAGGCTCAACTAAAAAAAAAATTAACTCTGAAAACGGGACGAAACGAAGGGGACGAGAGAGACAAGCTTTTAAAACTATTTCGGCCTGTGTTGCTTTTTTTATAAACAATTCTGCAGATGCAGATTGTCAAAATTGGGAGGATTGGTTACCTACACACGTACCTTATCAACATCACATAAGGTAAATTCTTCCAAGGCAACACAAACAACACTAACTTGCTAGATTATAAGAGAATTATAATGTTCGGACCGTTTTAACCAAAATTATCTAAAGTTCCTGTTTATCTTTGTTAGAGTGTTTGCAAGCAACCATATAATATTCGGGTTAAGTAAATTCATCGAGTCATTATATTAACATTAGAAAATCACTAATACTGTACTAACCTCTCCGATAAACCTCACGCAATTGGCACTAACATCGGAACCCGGGGATGAAGTTATGCGTATCAACAAGTCAACTGTCCTTTTTAAGAAACTAATTAATGAAAGAAATAATGAAGAAAGAAGAGGTAACATAAAATGGATTTGCTAAAAATTACAAAACTTTCTATAAAAAAGGAAAGATGTTACGGGGTCCTAAAAATTAACAGGCCCAAGTGAACCTCTTTGTGAACCGATATGTATATTTAAATATTTATGATTTTTTTATTTGTGTACTTGACAACTTAATAACATTTTCATGTTTACTGTATTTGTATTCCGATAGAAACTTCGCATCTCGACTATCACATTCGGACCTGTTGGAAATTACGAATTCCGTTTTTCGTCTATGAAATGAAAATTGAAAAAAAAAACCCGCCTGTTACAAGATGAGATGCGATATTTTCGATATCGCATAAGTACGGACGTGGATTTAATACTCCGTGCACTAAAAATGCGCCTCAAACTCGCATTAGCATTTAGTTTTTTTTTTTACGACCGACAGAATCGGAGTTTATAATTCCTTCACAACCAACTTCGATTTACGATCGATCCAAAAGTTGGATATTGTACACCATTGATGGCAAGATTCGACTTTGCGCCACCCGGCTGGGCAGAACTTCACAAACGATTATCCTTGCAAAAGACAATGCGTATTAACACCGTTTCCTTTTCTCACGTACATATCCTCAATAATAGATCCCTAATTAAGCTTTGAACAGGCTTTTTCCGTATTCGTGGATTAAAAAATAAATAATACGAAAATCGCAGTTGAGATTATCGCTAATAATAGTATTATTATCAATCTATAATTATACTCCCACCATTTTTTCTTAGAATAGGCCCGATGAAAAGACCTGATTTCTTTATTTCAGGAGACAATAGTGTTACTTCACCGTCTGCTTAATAATTTGAAAACTTTTTTTTTTCCTTAATTAACGAAAAGTTTTGAACTGAGAACTATGCAATAAACAAAACTTTATTCGCACTACAACTTTCAAATGTTAAAAACTACACCCGCATGTTCGTATCTTTGATATAAACTTGGAATCGTGCAAGCATCATTACAGTCCAGAGTGGAGGCTTACGTCAGCGTCAACTGGCATTTGAGAATTTCATGACCCGGAAGCGTAAAACTCTGGAGTTACAATTTGATCAGCAAAGGCACAGGGCATGTGGTATATTAAGGAGGTTTCTCCTAAAAAGGAAAATGTACCCTTGCTCATGTACATATGGAAATTACAAACTTACCTTGTGCGAAAAAAGATTTCCATAGTGTTTCATCGCGAACACCATGCGGCATCAACAAAATACAATTTAAGACCATTCGTTCTTTCTTCTACAACGTTCTATTGTGAGTCTGCAAAGAGCACAAATAAAATATACGACAAAGGATATCAACCTCACAAACTTTCTTTCATCAGAAAAGTAATAATTCGAAAAACTCTTCTGATTATCTTATATTTAAAGTAAACATTGTATCATTATTTAAGGAAAAAAAATAATAAATTGTATATACTGTATAATACGAAATACCAAATAACAGCGGTCCCTGTGATACTTACCAGTCTGCCAACATATTGATTGGAACACTCATGACGTGGTACTATAAAATAAACTGTATATAATATACATAAAAAAATAAATACAGCGAATAGACGATGTCGTTGCAAATTATGTTTATAGCAAAACAATTACGTTTTGTATCTTATCTAAATACAGTATATTAAAATAAATTGTTGAACATGTTTTTTGTAATGAAAATCAATCACCGCAATTAAAATTGCCATCCAAAAATATTATTAATTTTTTACAAATTTTTCATTGGATTATATACTGTATATTTTACCAACATTATGTTTTTTTTACTTAAAAAAATGACGTAAAATTGTTAATTTGGTTTTATAATTTTAACTATAATATTATCTGTTATATAAAAATTTTTAATTGAAATATATTGTATTTAATTAATAATTAAAATAAAATCATATAACAAAAAAAGTTTTATTGTTTTTATATTATTTTTTGTAAAAAAATTTTTTATTTTTTATCTGAAAGTTTACAAATAAAAAATAGTTGTTTGAAATATTTAATTTATTTTATTAAAAAAATTTATCATTCTTTTTTTAATATTTTTTAATTATTATTTTAAAATAATATTTACCAATTTTTTTTTTTTTGGTTCTCCTCATAGGTAAACATCATTTCTTTATTTGATATTGTATATAACATGGTATATATCATGAAAGAAACAACATCTCTTATATATATAAGTAACAAGTTAAATGCTAACTTGCCTATTTATCAATATCTAACCAATATCATAAAAAAATTCAAAATCAATATTAATGTGCTAGATAAGGCTGAATAGCAGCTATGCTTACTATCCTAGGAAATTTTACAAATTCTTTTGATTTTTTGGATATAAAAAATTGAAAAGAAAAATAAAATTGACTATAACTAAAACTAAATCAAATATACCATATAATCTATACATTAAACGAAAAAACTCCTTAATAGGCTTGTAATCCAAACTTTCCGACTCCCCGTGTGCTATAGATAATAAAATACATGTAATGTTATTTGTTATTATAATCATTGGTAATGAATTATTTGTTGTTGTTATTATAATTGTTATTGTAGTACAAAATCAGTTTGAGCTTGTTTAATTTTTGTTTTGATCATTAGACGAAATCTGATTGGATGATTGAAGAGTGTTAATCATCTGGAGGGGTAAACTGATTTCAGTTTTTTGAGTAAGAAATTTTTGAAAGATGAAAGTGGTGCAACAAATATTACTACGAAAATATTGTGTATAAGGATTGACTTGAAACAAACAATAGACTCATTAACTCTATTTGAGTGTGTATTTTGGAAAGTATTTGATTTAGCAAGTATAATAATAATAATGTGGATGATTTTGTAAAAGTCTTAAGGAAACTGTTAATAATTTCAAAAGACAGTGAACTTTAGTGTTTTAATTTTAAACGCCAACAGA